CAACTATTTTGAAAAGAATTGCTGCTCAAGCTACGATATATGTTTTATGGAATGATGTATTGATATTAAATATTCTATTTTCGGTTGGAAAGAAATTTATTTCCATTTTCATCCATGATGCATTTTTTTTCTTTTCTATGCCACGCTAATATTTTTGTTGAGATTTTTATCTCATATTTTTTTAGGGTCAATTTGTAGTATAACCAAAAAAAAATTATATTTAAAAAACTAATCAAAAACCCTAGATCTAATGGGTGAAATTTAGCCACATATATAGGTTTTGGCTAGATTCTTAGATATAATTTTTTTTTGTGTTATACAACCAAATTTTCCTTTTTTTATATAATCTTTTTTTTCTTATCATTCTTTTTTCTTCTTAATTAAAATTTCTACTTTCTTTCTACTTTTTGTTTTTACGGCTTATATTTTTATTTTTAAATTTATTTTTATAATTAGAATGAACCATTAGGAATTTTTTTTCATCTATTTTTTTTAATTATCATGATAATTAGTTTTCCATTTTTTTCTTTTTTTTGCTATGCTAATATTTTTTCCTTTTTCTTTAACTGGATTGATTTGCTTTTTTCATAAATTAATGACTTCTTATATTAGTGTAAATTTATATATAAATATATTGACACGTGTCACAATCTGAATTAAATATTACATTTGCCGCGATCTGATGAGTTATAATTTTGTCTACATGTCGTACTCTTATCATGCGCATCCTCTTTTATATAATAAAATACTAAGCTGTCATGTATAAACGACAAAAAGTTTCTACCATGGATGAACATGTTAATGTCTATTAACTTTACTATGTTTATACGATACTAGTTTCTAGAAAATTTTAAGAATTTTTTCTGAAAATTTCGTTACGACATTAGAGATTATTATTTCTAAACGTGAATTAATAAAATTATATTCGCATTGCCGTGCATGCATAGTCATTTTTTTAGTTATTATATTCTTTGTTGTGTGGAGAAATTAAGATATCATCATATCAATGATAATTTCGTAAGATAAATGCATCATTAGTATAATTTGTCGTATTTTTTTATGTATATGACCCTCTCATCTTCCTATCCTATAGAATCAG